TGGTACAATGACAATATAGTATTAATAAAATAAAGCGGTAATTTTTTATTGTCGTATATTTTCTCAAACAGAATGTCCCAACTATAGCTGTCGGATACTTTTTTTAGCATCTAGGGAATAGAGATAGACTGGTGAGTTGTTGTTGTAATGTTTTATCGTTTCGCTTATAACAAATTCGGCATGTAAAGTTGAGCTGTTTTTTGTAAAACCGAATTGAAGAGGATGAGTTTCTTTTATCTCTGGACAGGTTATTAAAATAACATATTCTATTAGTTTTGTAAAGATTGGAATGGTGCTAATAACTTATACGTTTTCTATTAAAAAAAATTCCGATCCACCCTTTTATTAAGCCCCCTTTCCTTGTTATCAGATCGGAACTAAAGTTCCCACCTCCTTATGTATCAACGAGATATGTATACACGCAAGAATAAACCTTCAATACTGAAGAACACATTCTGATTGTGAAATTGTATTATGAACAAGAGTTGTCCGTGACTAATGTAACTTTGTTATACTGAGTCTTAAAAGGTTTAAGACTCGACATAAAAAAATTCGATATAACAAATAATTTTTATCTGAAATAAAAACAAATTTGGACAATAAGAAAAAATATGCTATACTGAAAATATTGCTTAAGATATAATGGCTCACCCTGTAAAAATCAAATCGACAAATTATTAGTCAATTGACGTATTTTCAGGTGCTCAATACAAGGTAGGGGGAGGATGAAAAGGTGGGAGAATGAAAGGGTGTAATTTTAGTGCAGATTTGATAAAAGGAGGTTTTTTAATAAAAAGTTAATTCAGAATTTTTTACAGAACACGAATAAAACAATTTTAGCTTGCAGTTAGGGCATCCAATACCGGTATACCGAAAACCGGTATCCCAGTATACCGGACGTTTTTTGAATACCGATACCAAACTCTCAATACCGGTATATACCGGTATTTCTCATCGATAAGACTTCGTGCGTGTTTTGACACAGAGAAATCTGTATCTGTATCAAATAGTTATGAAGTATGCTACTAAAATTCGAAACTCAATAATAAAAGAATTATCTGAACTTCAACAGCAAGGAAATCGGTTTAGTCTTACGTTTGACGAGTAGACTTCGGTAAAAAATAGACGTTATTTGAACATTAACGTTCATACTCGAAATAGATTTTGGAATTTGGATTTAGCGAGAGTTAATGGACATTTCCCAGCAAAAATGTGTGTTAAGTTAATTAACAACATACTGAAAGAACACAACCTCAATATTGATCGCGATATTGTATGTATTACTACAGATGGTGCTTCCGTTATGAAGAAAGTTGGCGATTAATGTCCGTTGACCAGCAACTTTGTCTAATCCATGGAATGACGTCTTGTATAAAACAACAACTGTAGAATTGACCGATGATTATATTGGATCTGATGAAGATAGTGCGGGTGAGATTTCCGATGACAATAATGAAGAGCATTTAGACGGACTAAGGATTTTTCAGAACTCGCCAATTTCAAATGAACTTGCAAATAATTTGGCTTCATTGATAAGCAAAGTTAGAAAAATTGTAAAGCTGTTTAGGCGATCGCCAACCAAAAATGAAATCCTTCAAGTTTATGTAAAAACTGAACATGGTGATGAACTGTCATTAATATTAGATAATAAGACCAGATAGAACAGCTTACTTTTTATGCTAGAGTGTTTTTATAAACTAAAAAATTCTATTCAAAAAGCCCTGATTGACTTAAACTCACCTAATAATTTTATGGAATCTGAATTAGAATTGATATTATTAACAGTTTCTATGTTGTTACCAGTGAAATTGGCTGTAGAGGCTTTATGTCGGAGAGATGCTAACCTACTATCAGCTGACACTACCCTGGCAGTCATCTGCAAAATTTTGGGCGTAGGACCATTAAGTTAAAATATGAAAACCTACTTGATTATAAGAATAAAAGAAAGACGCACAAGTTTATTTTATCTCATACAATATCTTCATAAAGGTGATCAAGCCCATAGTAATTTTAGTTCAGATATCATATTTGATCGGCTAACTAAAACTGCTTTAATTGTGCATCTTATCCAGCGGCTCTCATCCGAGCAAACTGAAACTGCAGCATTCCCATCAGAAACAGATGAAGACGAAGATTCTATAATGTGTGAAGACGAACCTTTGAGCTTGACATTACAAGAGCAGCTAGACATGGCCATAAATAATGAGATAAAAATGAAAACAGTACGAAAAACAAAGCAAAGTATTAACGATTTGACTAAAATGGTGCGAAAAGAAGTTTCTATATTTGAGGAAGACAGTACACGTGGTACCAACTTGATGTTAGTATATGATTATATTTTAACTATTCCCCCAACTAGCGTAGAAGCTGAACGGGCTTTCTCTTCATCAGGAATTTTATGTACAAAAATACAATCATCTTTAAATGACTAAACCTTAAATAATTTATGTTTTTTGCGGGCTTATTTTAGTAATAAATAACTTTTTTATGTTTTTTGCTTGAAATTAATTAATTATATCTATTATTTTAACTTAAACAATAAAGTTTTGAAACCGTTTAACTGTTGCTTTGGGTTTTTTAAATGTTTTTTAAGTAATAATAAATACCGGTTTAAAAACCGGTATTTCGGTTTTCACTTAATCTAATACCGAAAAACCGGTATTCAATTTTTGGTCCGCTATTGGATGCCCTACTTGCAATCAAATTGGTTAAGTTGGTAGACTGCTAAAAAAATTTGAAAAAGTTAATATTTCAAAAGTTTCAATATTTTAAGCAGTAACTATTGCAGAATCTAAAAATATGTAAATCTTCATATTTGCAAACTTTTTTAGACCTGGAAAAACTTATTTATTTTAGCAGGGTAGATTTGCTTCCCATAGCAACGCTCATAGCAACGGCTAATAGAGGTTAGAAAACATGGACTGTTTACCACATCTTACAAATTTTAAACACTCAAACCAGTAGCTGCTTCTTTGTTATTAGTTTTTCTATGTTGTAAATGGCATAGTCTTAATGAAGAAAGTTGTTGATTAGGTTTTTTACCAAAATAAATGTAAAGTATTTGCTATCAAAATGGGTTCTGCAATGTTCTAAATACGTTTATGTGGGAAGGTCAACACTTGAAATTAGTGTTGCATCTGTTGTCATACACTTTAATGATAGAGAAACTGGTTTGAAAGATACTATGCACAGTTTAGGAATTGATCCAGGACATTTTACTAAGTATGGTTTTCAAAAGACTGATTGTCTGCATGTAAAGTTATCGGACAAAAAATCATCTGAAAATTTTAAAAACCAAAAAAAAGCTTAGAACAACTAGGAAAGGCTTTGATAATAAATACAACAATGAAGAAGGAACAGTATATGAAAAAGCAAGATTTTAAACTGTTTTTATATGTCAAAAACTTTATGTACTCAACATTTAAAATTTTATTTGCATTTTTCTCTGTTTTATAATTTTGTATTTTCTGTAGTCTACCAACTGTCTCATTATTTCAATAAGATTTAATATGCTTGTATAAGTTTTACTAAATTATTTTCGTAGTTTTGTTTAATTGGAATAGCTTTATTTATATATAAAATGCATATATAAAGTAATAAACATATAATTATACAATATAAAAAAATAATAATAAAAAAAGTAATTTTTGGTGAAATATACGAAATATTTTTAATGGACATGACAACTTTTATCAGTGTAAACATGAAGATTACTTTTCAAACCATGTATTTGTCATAAAATAACGTTTTTAGATTTACATTTATAGAACCTATATTATAACGATAATGAAAGATTTTGTTAGTATTCTTTGTGTACAAAAAATCTTTTTTACATGTTCAGTATTTCTCATCAACTGACCATTAACCGAAGACCAATGTTTTGTTATAATTTTTTTTTATTGCAAAATGTAGCAAAATATATATGATGCTGGGCTATTTAAATACATTTAGCATAAGATCTACATAATCAAATGTTTGGATAATATTGGACGATGGTTTAACTGATACCTAAGAGTAAAGGTTAACAAAAAGATCATAAACTTCTGTTTTCGATGCATAAAAACTAATGATTACACTTTCGTAAAATTGTTTTTAAAAGTCCATGTGAAAAAAAGCATTGTTAATTAAAATAATATATTTTAAAATGAAAGTCAATAAAATTAATTATAAACAATAGTAGCGTAAGAGAGTTGATAAATAAAAAATGCAAAGGAGCGTTTTGAAACATATAGTCACATGAGAATTATAGGGTTCTATCTGCCTTGTTTTATGTTGAAAGAATTTAACAATCAGTTTTAATAATAAATAATAAAAACAAACCACTTAAAAAATGATATATTATATATCATTTTTTAAGTGGTTAGTATGGATAACATAAACAACTTATAATTATAATGAATAACAGCTGTAAAACATGTATTAAATAAATATTGAAAGTTAAGTTCTCACAACATAAAAAAAGGTAGATAGAACCCTATAATTCTCATGTGACGATTTTATGAATTAGTTTTTTAAGGTATGTACCAAATTAACCTAGGCGATCAAATTTTATAAACACTTATTTCAAGAAGTATTTATAGTATAAAAGGAAGACGTGTACAACTTCAAGATAAACAAGTATTATTTAGCCTTTATTTATCTTTATCCTCGGATATTTTAAATATTTAAAAGATTGCCAAAATTATTTATAGAGATTTTAAAATATGTATTTATTTAATAACAAGGAGATCTCAGCCTACATTTAGGTGCACCATTTATCCGCACTTAAAGCTGTACTGACGAATCTGGCTGTCCAATTCTAGGCACCTTATTTAATCGCGTACCCCTGCAGAAGAAACGCTTTAAACAAATGTTTTCAAAAAACGAGAAAAATTAGCAACTGGATCCAAATTAATCTATATTAAAAATAAATACACCAATGACGCGCAGGATATTATAAACCTCATTATTATATTAAATATTTCTAATAAGGAAAAATATTAAAACTAACGAAATACAAATTTTAAATTTTGTTATATTTTATTTTACTTAAGCTTCGGCTAACTTTTGTATACTTTCCGCTAAAAAGAGTTTCGAAAAAGATTGCGCAGCGTAGTCGTTCAGTTGGTCACAACAAGTTGCAATTTGAGCAGTGGCTAACAAGTTGTCTAATCGTTGCGGTGGCTGCAGAGGACGAAATAACTTATTTAAATCCTCATCAGGTAAAGGCTGTTCTCCGCGTTGTTTACGAAGGTCATTCTCCTGTGCCTGAAAAAGATTGATTAAAGTCAAATATTGAGAAATTAAATATTTATTAAGTATAAATTTATTAAATTATTTGAAATATTTATTATAATATAAATTAGTTTTTAATACAAATATATTTCGATTCTTGTTAACAAAGATTGTAATGTTTTTAATTTTTACTTAATTACATATTTATTTGCATTCAACTCTAATTTTTTTTTTAATGCTATTATATTTGTTTGACATTGAGTAAGCAAAATTTAATAGATGTCTTTCCTATAGGTGTCCATCTGTATTTTAACAATCAAGAAAATAAAAGCGAAAAAAAAAAAACCATTCATGTTTGAAAATCTGACTTTTTATTTGAATTGTAATAGCTTGTAAAAATTTAAATTTTAAACTGAAAAAATACGTTTCAGTATATTAGAGTTCTCTTTCTTTTAGCTAAGTTGCCATTACCATGGCCTTCAAGAAGCCTCAATTTTCCAAAAATAAAATAAGTTATAACTGATACTTTTTTTTACTTATGATTAGATGAAGTGGTTAAAGTTTAAATGTTACTATCATGACGTATGGTGATGCTCTTTTGTTAAAATACTTTACACAAAGTTTTTTTTTAAATAAAAAGACTATAAAAATGCACCAAAATGTACTTTTTAACTTGGAAACTCTTGATAAGCAAGAAACCTGATTGATACCGTATATACAGTATTGGACAAAACATTTGCAACCAACATCAAACTATGCTAAAAAGTGTTCCTAATTTTACATGTCTTAAAAACGAAACAAACTATACTACCACAGCAAACAGTTCAGGAGTCTGGAGTCATAGCATGCCATGACATGAGCAATCAGCTGACAAGTGACAGCACACAGGCAGAATTTCGTTGACAAGTCGTCACATTAGAATTATTGGGTTCTATATAACTTTTTTTTATGTTGAGAGAACTTAACTTTCAATATTTATTTAATACATGTTTTACAACGGTTATTCATTAAAATTATAAATTATAAGTTGTTTATGTTATCTATATTAACCACTTAAAAAATGATATATATTATATATCATTTTTTAAGTGGTTTGTTTTTATTATTTATTATTAAAACTTTGATTGTTAAATTCTTTCAACATAAAACAAGGCAGATAGAACTCTATAATTCTCATGCGACTAAGTGCCATTTTGCAGCGGGCAAAACAAGTGCAACTTTTTTGGTTTCTTTCATTTTCTTAAGTCTGGTCTGTGTCAACGTCACGGCAGTTTTTTAATAATTAAAAAAAGTATCCAAAAGTTTCCAGAAGCATGCAGAAGCTTCCAGAAGAATCATCTGGAAGCATCAAAAAGAAGCATAAATAATCTTCCAGAACAGGTTCACACAGGTTCATTTTACTATATAAGAGACATAAACCGACATGTAATTCAGTCAGTATATGGAAGTCAATCAGTCAGTATAATCAAAACAGTTTATCGAAGTGAGTTTTATCAAAGTGTTTTATCGAAGAACATCAATACAAGATGTGAAATACTACAAGTGTTTCATTACATCAATACAGTCCACATATAACCAAGTAAATGTAACACAGTAAGCCTTGAGAAGCGTGATTATTTATTTTTATGACTTCAAGTGCAAAAATGGCTCCCGACAGTCTTGGATTAGAGCTACGAAAGAAAATTATTGGCGATTACGTAAGTGGAATGTCACAAAAAAATATTCGTGATAAATATCGCGTGAAAAAATGGACCGTATCAAGACTATGTTCCAAATATTGTTCTACGGGGAAGTTGACAGCAGATAACAAAGGTGGAAGACCGCGTTTCACCACTTCTAGAGAGGATTCTATGATCGTCAGAGCCGTCAAGAAGGATCCCTGGATATCATCAGTCGAGATACAAAAGCAATTAGAGCTGCCTGTATCGGACCTAACAACCAGACGACGTGCTGTTGAAGCCAAATTGTTTTCTCGACGCCTTGCAAAAAAACCGCTAATTTCACTAAAGAACAAAAAGAAGAAAAGATTCCTGTTTGCTACATCTCATATTAACTGGAATGTGCAGAAATCGTGAACTATCCTGTTCAGTGATGAATTGAAGTTCAACATCATTGGGAGCAATGGCATTTGCCGTGTACGTCGACCGGCCAGAAAACGCCTCGATTTACATTACTGCCATAAGACCGTGAAGCATGGTGGAGGCAATGTAATAGTCTGGGGGTGTTTTTCTGCTAACGATCTAGGTCCAATACATCGAAACAATGGAATAATGGACCATTTCATATATAAAAATATCCTAAAAGATGTTATACTACCTCATACTTAATGGAATATGCCAATAAAATGGGTTTTTAAGCAAGACAACGATCCGAAACACACTGCAAAAGTAGTCATGCAGTGGTTTCAAGACAACCACCTATTAGTGATGGATTGGCTGCCTCAATCTCTGGATCTCAACCCTCTCAAGAACCTGTGAGAGATCGTCAGCCGCAGAATTAATCATGAAGGTGTTCTTAAAGGTTCGTGAAGGTGTTCCAAAAGGCCTGGGCAGCGATTCCACAAAGGTTCATTGATCACCTGATCGAATCTATGCCTCGAAGATGCAAGGCTGTGATCAACAACAAAGGATTCGCTACAAAATATTAATAGCAAAATACAGCTTGGTCAATATTTTGCGAAGTTGCACTTGTTTTGTCCAGAAGGAAATCAAATACTTTTATATAAAGAAACTAAATTAGCATTATTTGGTTGCACTTGTTTTGTCTGATACTTTAAATTATAGAAAAGCAGCACTATTACCACATATTTAAAAATTCAAGAATTTTTTTTACTGCTAAAAATTTTTTTTTCTCAAAGATCAGAAAAAAGTCAGTCTCAAAGATCAGAAAAAAGTCAAAGATCAGAAGAAAGTCAGTCTCAAAGATCAGAAAAAAGTCAGTTTTCAAAGATCAGAAAAAAGTCAGTCAGGTCACGTTTATGCTGCTACTGGTAACATGTAATCCAGTACATTCTGCTTCATGTCCTGCTGCCTTGCAGGATATGCCTTTGTAGGCAAAGACTAGGAGATGCAAACTCTGACATAAAACACCCCCTGCCTTGGAGCTCTTGATTGAGTAAAAGCTAGAGACAGTGTCTCGATAAAAATACTCATCTTGGGCAGATGTTAAATGCATCCGGCTGCTGTCTTGTAGAAAGCCTCCTAGACAAAGATTTAAGGGGTAAACAGATTCTATCTGTTGACCAGCCTCGCACCCCTACTCCATCTATTAGGCTGGCGCAGATGTATTTTTAATACATTGTTTCCAGTTTAAAATGTTGAACGCTGGATCTTCTCGACTTGATGCATGGATTTTGCTTGTGTCTCTGTTATTATGACTAGGCAACTCATTCTATTATCTCCAAATGAGGGTACAGCTCTAAAACTCAGTTTTATGGTTCTGAGGCCGGCTGCTAGTCAGGTTCTCCGAACTCTGTGGTAGCTCTCAGAGAGGCTGATTCCATCAACAGCTGAAAAATATCAGAGTACTAACAGTGCCATGTTGCGCATGGATGGTGTCCCTGTTTGTACTTTTGGTGTGTATTGCCAAGGCCACATTAGAGCCCTTTGTTACGGCTTAGGGTTTATTAGTGGAAATGAGGCAATTGCTTGGGCTATAAAACAGTGTACTGAGTACTATCTATGTTTCGAGTCAAGTTCTTTAACAAATTTAAAAATGAATAAAGTAACAAAAACTATAAAACACAAAAAACCACAGTCATCACCAAGTTCGCTAAACCTATCATTCACCAATATTCGTGGTCTTCGAAGTAAATTTTCTTCTGTTGAGTCTTATCTCTTGCAAAGTTCACCAGACCTACTTGCTCTTTGTGAGACTAATTTGAGTTCAACTGTCTCATCTTGTGATCTTAGTGTTGATGGTTATCTTCCTTTAATTCGTAAAGACTCCAATAGTCACATGCTTGGCCTAGGCATTTACATTTGTAAGAATTCACCCATTTGTTGGGAAACTAGGTTTGAATCCACAGACTACTCTTTTATGTGCTTTTGTTTAGCACCACTTCACTTTATCACCTTTCTTTTTGTTCTATATCACGCTCCTTCATCTCAAGACTGCACTCTTCTTAAAGTTATTTCTGATTATATTGACCTAGCCCTCATTCTTTATCCATCAGCCAATATTGTTGTTGTTGGTGACTTTAATGTTCATCACACTGAATGGCTTGACTCTAGTGTCAGTGACTCCGCAGGCATTAAGGCACAACTTTTGCCTTTCTCAATCCCTAACTCAAATAGTCAACTTTCCAACTCGCTTTCCAGACAACCCGAATCATTTACCTTCTCTACTTGACTTATGTCTTGTTTCTAATCCTAGTCAGTGCTCAGTTTCTCCACACTCACCTTTAGGTGCTTCTGATCATAGTTTGGTCTCTCTAAAACTATTATCTCATTCTTCTTTACCATCAGAATACCCCTATCATTGTACATCTTACAACTACCTTAAAGCTGACTGGGACTCTTTCCGTGATTTTCTTTGTGATGGCCCCTGGGTAGAAATCTTTCGTCTTCCTGTTGACAAATGTGCTTCTTACATAACTTCATGGATTCAGGCTGGTATGGAATCCTTTATTCCCTCTCGACGATTCCAGGTCAAGCCTTACTCTTCTCCATGGTATTCCTCACATTGTGCTGCTGCAATTGCCAATCGAAACCATTACTTCCATATCTATCAGCAAAACAATTCTCCAGAAAACAGACAAGCCTTTGGCCTTAGACAAGGTTTTGTTTAAGGCCAAAGCCTGCTATTCTCAGATCATGAAATCTCGTATTTCATCACAAAAATTAGGCTCTCGTGACTTCTGGAGAATCTTTATAGTATCAATAATAAGGGCAAGTCTGTAATTCCACCTCTTTTGTACGGTTCAGACTTTGTCACCTCACCTAAAGACAAAGCTGAATTGTTTGCCAAGAACTTTTCATCAATATCATCTCTCGATTCCACTACTTGCGTTCTACCTGATCTAGCCATCAAAC